GCCATCGCTATTGGGGTGGAGGCCATCGCTATTGGGTTGGAGGCCATTGCTAGTGAGGCCATCGCTTTTGGCAAAACTCAAGGAGCTGCAGAGAGCCAGTGGACCCCGTGGAGCCAGTGGAGCCCGAACATGTTATTGACCCTGTTTCGTTTCACATGTCCACCACTCGTGGGAGTCCCTGTCACTTCCCTTAAAAACATGTATATAAGTGCCATTAAGAACCTATCTGACTCTAGGCCACAATGTGCTTTCGAGCGAAGGTCTTTTTGTTGGGTCTCTTGTCAAGGTCTGCCCCACAGATACGCAGTATCGGTGAAGTATCAGCATCTGCCCCTCAGAGCAGCCCAGTCATCGCCAGCAGGTGTTTTTCCGGTCGTTAGGGACCCTCATTCTTAAGCTGTACCTCTTTATGGTGCGATGCTGGGATTGCGAGGAACATCGAAGCCAAACGCCAATGGCTTTGCCAATGGCCAGCCAAGTTGCAAAGAGTTACACAAGTTTCCCACTCAGCTCACACATCAGCCATAGCCACCATGAACTCCTTTGCCTTCACTCCCAACCTTTCGACAGTGCTCTCCCATTCCTCCTCGCCTGAGCGCTCAAGCGAATCTCGTTCGGACAGTCCGAAGTGGACGACGAAGAACTGGTCTTGGCCACCTGGTCTTTGCGACTCAGCCACGCTAGTAGTAACAAGTGCCACGCTAGTAGACAGGTGCCTTACTAGTAGTAACAAAAAGCTATTAAAGTTAAAGTAAATAGCTTCTTGTTACTACTAGTAAGGCACCTGTTACTACTAGCGTGGCACTTGTTACTAATAGCTTCTTGTCTTGGCCACCTGGTCTTTGCGACTCAGCCACTGAATTGAGACTTCTCCATGTTGCCAGAGAGGAGCAACTTCTTGCCAGGCATTGCGCGGTAGCAAATGTTGTCTTCCTGCAAGAAATCCACCGTCTGGTCCTGGGAGACGAAAAATAGATCTGATATGACCAGATGCCGATGCATATAGCTTCTTGCCGCTGGTAGTTGGCCTCCATCCTAGTAGCGATGGCCTCCAACCTACTAGATTCTTGCTACTAGTAGTAATGGCCTCCAACCTACTTCTGGTTACTATGTAGAACATAAAGATGTGGCAAGGCAAGGGTCATAGTCCCACAAATAGACACAATGCTGGGCCGCTGAGGCTGGTGGCACAAATGGCCTGCACAGAGCTGTGGCAATCGTCCAAAATCCTCCAACCCACGAACTCAACTGTCCATGCACCGAAGCTTAGCGCCTGTGAGCAGTCACTTGTTCCATCATAAACCTCGAAATGTTCGAAATGCTACACAGATCGAAATGCTACTAGGGGCTCCTGGCATCGCTACTAAAAACAAGGACGCTACTAGGGGCTCCTGGCCATACTACTAGGAACAAGAACGCCACTAGGACCTTTTTCCCAACTGCGTCCGGGCACTCAAGCGCCGTCTTCTTGATGAAGGCGTCTGCCTTCGCCTGGCGGTTGAGGCATGTCTACCTGAGCCTACCACTGGCCTGCGACAGGCCTCGTCTTCAGCACTTTCAAACTTGCCTTCTCCCTTCAGGAGCTCCTTTCCTGCGAGACCGGCAACTAATGGAAACTGGAGACTCTTGAAGACTCTGGGAGACTCGGAGCCTCATGTGAATGACAGCATAAGGACCGATTTCCACATCAACCAGCCAGCAGGATTGACACGGAATGACATGATACAAAATAAGGCAGACAAAACTATTGCCAATCCTGAGCACTCGCACTTCACCCCCTGCTCTAGCAAATGGTTCTTCACACTGAACTTGTCCCATTTCCAGATTGCCTGAGCTGAGGACACAGAGCTGCAGGGAGACAGTGGGGTTGAGCGATGACATCAAAATAGAAAGGCTGAAACTGCGCCTGATGCTTGACCGCACCCAGTCAAAAAGCATGTTAATCCCAAATGAAATACATTCATCATTTCGCTGGGAACGACAAGCTTGGCATTGATGGCCTTGCAATGGTCGACAACTGGCTGTCAAGCAAAAAAGATTTGTGCACATGGCTCGCAATTGTCAACAGCTCAGCTCGGCTTTCAGTTTGCTGATAGGGCTGGGGGCATCCGGGGGATGACTTTGAGGCTATGAGGAACACAAAAGACCATAGAATCTAACAGGAATGGCCTCCAACCTACTAGTTACTAGCTAGCGATGGCCTCCAACCTAATAGCGATGGCAATTAAGGCCTTGGGGAACACAAGTGTCAACAAACCATGTTTGGCCTTCTGGATGACCTCGCAGGTGTCGTTGTCCAGGTTTTCCACAACACCCATCAGTTCAGCATCCTCCATCTTGTTCACCTTGGCCCAAGAAAGACTCCAACAATGTCCTTGCTGCTAGTAGCGATGCCAGGAGCCCCTAGTAGCGAACATTGCTCCTAGCAGTAAGGCCAGGAGTCCCTAGCCAGCCGAAAGTTTCCCAACCTGATTTATCTCGACTTAGTCCACCAAGTCCTCTTTTTGATCGTCACCAAGCGGCCGCTGCTGCCATCCCAGTTGCGGCAGAGGCTCCAGTTCCCATGGCGCTGCAAACGGCGCGGCGGGTCAGTGTGAACCGGCGGTCAACCACTAACTCGCTGATCAACAAAAAAAGCGATCGGAAATGCGCAACATGAGGGGTGCATCTCGCATTCCTAAACGAGACAGTTCCTCAAACTGGGAAGGACGCAGCTGTGCCTCCTGAAGAAAAGGACACTACTAGGGGCTCCTGGCCTTACTACTAGGAGCAAGGACGCTACTAGGAGCAAAGGATGCACCTATGCCTCCACCTAATAGCGTCCTTGTTGCTAGCAGTAAGGCCAGGAGCCCCTAGTAGCGTCCTTGCTCCTAATAGCGATGCCCTTTGCTCCTAGTAGCGTCCACCTAGTCATCTGAAGAAATGGGCGCCACATTCACCCGGACGCAGCCGGACGCACCTTTTTCTTGACGCGCCTCACCACACAGATGTGGAGCTAGGTTCCTAGGGTCCGCCCTGCTAGGCCTGCGGTTGAGAATCCCAAGCATCTTCAATCACACTGTTGTTCGCACTATTCTCCCCATCACCACCTTCAGCCTCATCCTGTCAGAGACGAGTGCTGAATGAAAATGCACCCTTTCAAATTTTGAACACGTGGGAGACTTTGTTGAAAGAAAAATGGTGTCACTTGCAACATCACTTGGCCGGAACACGGGCCGGCACAAATCAGCACACCAAAAAGCACAAAACGGGCAAAAGGAACTTGACAGGTTGGCGAATCTGCTTAAAAAAACGTCCGCTGAGTCAACCGCCGCCTTTGCAAAAAGGAATCGCAAAGGAAGCAACAAATATGTAGTTGTATTGGAACTTGAAAATGACCCAGCCCGACTAGCACGCTGCAAAACACAAGACACAAGTATGCTAAAAGAAGGGCAACGCAACGAGCAATGCGAAGGACACAAATTTCAAACTCTCTGGAAAACGAAAGCTGGAAAGAATAAGTAAGTACAGTAATATGTAAGACGCGCCCCCACCTCAGTACCACCGGTGGTCTCCACTTGTTCTGCGAATACCTTCTGCAAGGCCTCTGCCGCTTGCAACTGAGTGGGGGTCAAACGCTCCCCAACCACATCGTTCACAAAGCTGGCGAGCAAGCGCCTCGGAAAGTGTGCTTGCTTGATGTGGCCGGACATCATCCACGGTAGTGCTTACAACCCACCCATCAACTACCTTAAATGCAAAGTGATAGACCCCCAAAGAAATTGCTGGCAATATTGGCGCAAAAGATTGATTGCGAACTACGGCAACAACCGAGCCTCAACTTCAGAAGCTCATCTGCCACCCGCACATCCACAGCCATGTGCCACCGCTCCAGTTCAAAGACCACCCGCTGCTTTCGATGCACCTCGGTCAATGCGGGCGCAAAAAGGAGAAGGGGCGCTGCTCCAATCACCGTGGAGTCATAGAGCCACCGGTCTGTGGTCTCCTGGATTTCGTAGAACACCATGAGGCAATGACCTCAGAAAAACCGAACAAAACCTCAGTCAGCCGGGCAAAAACCGATATATAGACCTATGTGGGAGAGGGTTTGCGGAGTACACAGGTCACGTGGAAAAATGAAACACTACTACCGGCAACGAAGAGTCCTGGTGCAGATTACTAATGTACTTTTCCAGACTAGCTTTGCACCGGTAGAACAGTGCCAGTGCCGGTGGGGTTCTGTTTCCAGCTTTTTGGAGGAGCACCAGAATGGCCGGGCAATGTGCCTCGAACACTTCATGGGCACTGTACTTATGTACATCACTTTGAACCGGCGCTTGGGTTCTTGGCTGGTCACCGCCAAATCGTCGGCGCAACAACTAGCCGAGCCCTACAAACAGAAGCGCTGGAGACAAAGAGTCAAACAATTCACAAAAAAAAATCACGAGAGCTTCCACACCTCTGCACGTGACTCCACAAATCTCGTCAACTTGTATTCGCTCTCCATGGGGAGACAAGTGGGGAAACAAGCAACAAAAGACATGTAAGGGTACAAGGGGGAGTCCCCAATGGGTTGATGAGAACTATTGGCAACTGATATAAAGTTTAAGTTTGGTAAGACCTGGAACTTTGCAGAAGTATGCAACCCAAGCCGGCGCGTCACGCGTGTTGATGCAGACCCCTTCCAAGAACGTTGTTGGTCTTGCATGGCGATTGATGGTAGAAGATTTTGCCAGCTGCTGGCTGCCTTCTGGAAATGGTAGATTTGGAGATGCCACTAGAGCAAAGCATCAAGATGTCTCACAGTACAGAAGGCAGTCAGGGAGATTGTGGTGTTTCTGGCTTCTTGGTGGCCACCAACATCCGCCAACTGGCTATCAAAATTAGCTTCTCAAGATGAACATCAAAAGAACGGAGATTGCCATGGGCCCAAGCTTTGCCGACAACGAGCCGCCGGCGTGGTTCACTGACTGACGATGACGGTGGGACGGGCTCAGTCTCCCATGCAAACAAACCATTGGTGCCTTTGCCTCAGGCGCGCAGGGAATGAGCCCTCATTCACTTCTATTCGCAGATCTGGTGGAACCATCCTACAGACCGGCTTAGCTTGTACCCAGGTGGAAAACTTATGCGCAGGAAAATCCATTTACTGCGAGGTTGTGTGCATCATGGCAGAGAGTGACAGCACAGAGTATCAGCTGGTTACTGCCGCGGCCAAAAAGAGGCAAACGGATTTTGTTCTTGATCAGCGAACTGCCTTGGTCGCCATTACGAATGCAAACCAAGCAAAAGGCCCTTACTAGGAGCAAGAAGCTACCAGGTGGAGGCCATTGCAAGTCGGTTGGAGGCCATCGCTACTAGGAGCAAGAAGCTACTAGTAGCTATCTTGGAACATGGTCTTTCGTTGAGTCGAAGGCCCTATAGGGTGTAGCTCGAGAGAGCGTGCTCGAGTTGGTGGAGCTGTAGCAATGAGCAACGTGCCAGTCCGGGCGGTACACCGGGCAGCAAGAGGGGAAACCTTCACACCTGATAGCATGACCAAAGGCGCAAAGTTGGCCGAGCGATGCCAAGTATATAATGGGCATTTGCTGGAGCATGAGTCAAACTTTTGTCAAAACCACCTTCATGACCAGATTTTCACAAGCCTTTGTTTACGGATGGTGTCTAGATTGGAAAGCATTGTTCAAGAATGCGCGCGGAATCTCTTACAAGCAGGGCAGCGAGGCTTCATTTAAGACACGGTTGCACTTGTGCCAGAGGAGTTTCGTTGCCAGGTTCTGTCTGCAGGACGTTTGAGAGGTTGCAGCCTTGGTTGCACAGAAACGCAGTTACCTGCTCCGGCTAGCATCATGTGTTGACAGGTGTTCGGTTTTCTTCACTGATCCCTTAGAACCTTGCTTGGTTGAGCAAAACACCTTCCCCCGTCGAAAACCTGTCAGAATCCAGCAATAACCCGTCTTACCTGGATGTATGTTTAAAAAATCTGCCAGCATAGATCCCAGATAGCAAAAAATGCAAGCACCGCCCTGCAGCGGCACCGCCATCTAGCATCGGCACCCTGCAGTGGCAACATCTCCCAGCCCCCAAAAGCGCATAGTGCCATAGACATCTGGTTGCGGCACCCTGCAGCCGCACCCTCCAAAAACATCTGAGAGCGGCACCTTGTAGCAGCACCAACACCCAGGCTCCAACGCGCACACAGCCAGACATCTGGCACGTCTTCCTATACTTGAAGTAAGAACGTAAGAACCCCAATGGCTTTCGCCGTCAGGGGAACAACCTTCAAGGGAAACCCTGCAACTTATATATGTATGGTACACATGTTATATGGCTCCTTCAGCTTCCGGAAAAAACAAATCACAAAACCCGTCCGTGGGACTCTCCGCAGCATTGACACTCCCAGGGTGTGGCTTCACCGGCAAGTTCTGCAAGGTTTTGCCACGACCCTTCCCATGAAGCCACGCGAGGTTCGGGTAGAGCCCGGCCGTCAGCACAGCTTTGCAGGCGTTTGCACGGGCCTGATGATCCGCATGATCCTCCGGTACTTCATGCAGGACCTCACGAATGCTCAACAGTAGATCCTCCCTGAGGCGATGAATGTATTCCATGGTTTCTTTGGATAAGAAGTACTGGCGAGCAAAGGCGTCCCTGCCAACCTTCCAGCCTTCGTAGGCATTCACCATTGCCACCAGGTCGGAGCTAGAGCCTTCCGACAACTCTTGCCGAGCCTTGTTCGCGGCCTTCTCCATCCCCATGGGACAAATGAAAGGCGGCTTGTAGCCCAAAGACGCGCAAATCGTCAACATCATATCAAAGCAACGAAAGGGCGCCGCAAGCAGCAGCAGCTTTGCGAGCATTGGGTGGACCTCATGGGCTGAGGGAAACTTCTTGCTACTAGTAGCATCCTGTGTTCCTAGGAGCAAGACTGCTACTAGTAGTAATGCCTTGTTACTTGTAAAAATGCCCTTGTTATTAGTAGTAATGCCCTTGTTACTAGGAGTATATAATGCCCTTGTTACTAGTAGTAATGCCCCTGTTACTTGTAGTAATGCCCTTGTTATTGGTAGTAATGCCCTTGTTACTAGTAGTATATAATGCCCTTGTTACTAATAGTAATGCCCTCCCTTGCTCGTAGTAGCTATTTGTTACTAGTAGTAAGCCCAGGAGCTTCTAGTAGCGATGCCCTTGTTACTAGTAGCTGTGTGTTACTATCCTTGCTCCTAGTAGCGATGCCCATTGCTCCTAGTAGCTTCTTGTTATTTGGGGGTCGCTGAACACACCCGGATATGCCTGGCAAAGTTGCTCGTGCATTCTGATGTGAAGGATACGAAACCATACCCCCTTACCATTCACCTTGAGCACTTTGACGATCACAAGTTCCCACAGACCGCTTTGTCGCATTGGCTACCGGCCACCGCCAAGTGCGCTGAAAAGGGCCAAAAACAAGTACAGTAGCCACCCTGCTATATCTTGGGAGTTTGAAGGGGGCCACAAACCTTCCAGCCTGCAGCTTCGCCAGCTTTGCACCCAAGGGCGTCACCGTCTCGCCGCGGCCCTCCACCGCACCCAGGCGCTGCAGCAGCTCCACGGCATGCTGCAGCACTTCCGCCCGGGGCGGCGAGATCGCCTCGATGAGAAAAGCGACAGAAATATGACGAACGTGAGGCCTCCCCGCTAAGAGCGATGGCCTCCATCGCTCCAACCTACTAGGAATGGCCTCCACCTAAGAGCGATGGCCTCCCCCTAGATGAAAATGAGGTTTCATTCGCTTTCAGGGTTGGATCATCTCAAACTCAAGGTGACACATGGCCTCTTTTTTGAGATGTTCAAACCGAAAACCATCGCCGCATATCGCCGCCCTGGCCTCCTGCAGAAACTCCTCCGGCACACCAAGCCCCAAGGAGGCCACCTGACGGAGGGTCCCGGAGGGTTGCTACTAGTAGCGATGCCCTTTGTTACTAGTAGCTATTTGCTCCCCGTATTAAGGCCAGGAGCTATTAGTAGCAATGCCCTTGTTTCGTGCAAATCCATTTCTCAAGAAAAACCTTTTCGCGTCACTGCACCGAACCCGGCGAACAACACTCTCCCACCAAAGCCCAAACCCTTCCGACACCCTCTGGCCAAGACCGTCTCAGCCTGCTCCCGGCCTCCAAGCACAATTCCTCCAAAGGCGACCGCAGCATCTCCGGAAGTTCGTACCTCAAACACGAACTCGCCGGACATGAAGAATGCCCCGAGCACAAGAAAACGGAAGAATGCCCCGAGCTTCTGCCATGCTGCTCCTCCATGGCATCCCACTGCATGGAGGTGTAAAGCCGATACCACACGCCAGGTCGGCAGCGCCCTGCACGTCCGCGGCGCTGGAAGCCATTGGCTTTGGAGTACCAAACAGTGCGCAAGGCTGAGATCATGGTCTGCTCATTGAAGAAGGTGGTGCGGCTGCGCCCAGGGTCGATGACATAGACCACATCCTTTCACAGCCACTTCTAGCCCCTAACGATGCTACACGTCGTCATGTAGAAACACATCCAACCAGTGGGACACAAACAAGGCATTGGGAAAAAACACATCCATCTAACTTTGCCAAAGTCTTCCGTTCTCCCAGGCCATCGAGGCCATCGCTCTTAGGTTGGAGGCTTCTGTCCTCCACAGTGATTGAGGTCTCTGCCAGCACTGTGGCCACCACGACCTTCCGCTGGCCTTTGGGCGAATAGCTCCTAGTAGTAATGCCCTCGTTGAGAGTAGCAAGAATGCTCCCAAATAGCGATGCCAGGAGCCCCTAGTAGCGTCCTTGTTCCTAAGGCCTGGCCTTCGGGCGGGCTCTGGAAGATCTGCTTCTGCTCCCAGGTGGGAAGCCGCGAATGCAGCGCATGAATCACCAGGTCCCCAGCGAAGCTTCGACCCTGAAAGTCGGCAGCAACCCGCCACTTTCGACGTGGGTAGCATGGATTTGTTGAGATATGTTAAAACCAAAACAGCATTCTTGCCACTAGAAACAAGAAGCTACTAGGGGCTCCTGGCATCACTACTAGGAGCATTCTTACTACTCTTGTCAGTAGCACAGGCGTTCGATCCTTCAAGCGGTCGATGATCTCTTTGATCTCTGCCCAGCCAGGCATGAAAATCAGGATGCCACCCTCTTCTCCTGGATTACGGAGTCTAAAAATGATAAGATAGCTGCGCCAAATACTCTACAGTGGCCCTTCAGTACGCAATGAGGTGAATCCTTCTTGACACTCAATGAAAACAGAACACAGCAAAAAACACGAGCCTCCTTGATGGATCATTTTCACAACTCGCAGCACGAGCTCAAGATCAATGACATCCGCCATCTCGTTGTGGACCCTCACTACCTCCTCCACCAGTGCCGACTCGCCCAACACAGCAGCCACGCCCTCCCAGTCCAAAGGCACTGCCAACGGTTTTTGGGAGAAGGGCGAGCTACGAATCTGGCGGTTCGAGCGCCAACCTCCCAGCTCAGGCAGCTGCAGCAGGAAATCCTCCAGGAAGAGCTCCTCCGCGTGGTGCTGTCTCACAAAGTCTGTCTTTGAGTGAAAACAGGCGTGCTGCGTGAAAGAATGTCCTTTTCAATCTGCATCCGCTAAGCCCGGCATGTTGTGAAGGGCCACTTATCATGTCAAGCAACAGGGAAGCTGCATGAAACTTTTGGCAGGAAGCATGCCTGACATCATGGACTGTTTCCATCCCACTGAACAGGTCCACACCCTGAGCTCCTCGATGGGGTAGTTGGTTTTTCCAGGGATGCTCACGGTGTTGATGCCTTTCCAACAAGGACACTAAATATGCCAGCACACTTTGCCATACATGTCATGCACAACCTTCTGCTCTCTGCATCGAACTTAGGTTCATGTTAGCATGTCTCTTGCCTTCAAAGTAGGCTTGGAAGGCCGAGGGGTCCACAGTCGCAGACATCAAGACCACGCGCAGCTCCGGGCGTTCCTTCAGCAATCTTCGCAAAAGGATCAGCAGGAAGTCCGTGTGCAAGCCCCTCTCGTGCACCTGCACATGTCAAAGCATGTGGGGAAGCCTCGAATCCCTTTTAGCCCGCTTAGCCCACCAACTGGCAGCATCTCCGAAGAATGAAATCTCATCAAGGGGTTGATGATCGGTTGGCGATGCCCTTTGCTCCTAGTAGCGATGCCAGGAGCCCCTAGTAGCGTCCAGTTTCCGCTAGTTTTCCTTCATGGTGCCCACAAAGCTTGGTTGAAGACACCCACCTCGTCTACCACGATGTGGGTCGCCCCTTCCAGATACTGGTTGCTCTGCATCACCTTCAACAAAATTCCCACAGTGCAGAAAATCACTTGCGTGGTCTCAGTGATCTCATCCTCCCCAAGCGTTGGTGCAATCCCCGACCCCAATTGAACAAGCGAAACAAAAGCCAAAGCTTTTTTGCGACGGATGCATCAGACTTGCCCCGTTCGTAGCGTCCTTGCTCCTAGTAAGGTCAGGAGCCCCTAGTAGTTTCTTGTCCCATCTTGTTCGTTCTTTTCATGTGCTTGTATCTTATCATCGCTACTAGTAACAAGTGCCTTACTAGTAGTAACAAGTGCATCGCTAGTAGAAACAAGTGCCTTACTAGTAGTAACAAGTGCATCGCTAGTAGAAACAAGTGCCTTACTAGTAGTAACAATAAGAATTTAATTAGAATTGTCTCCACAAAGCGGATGATTTTGTTCTCCTCAAAGCGGATCTTGAACGCCACGGACTCGCCCAGCGTCTGTCCCCGCTCCGTGGCCACTCGGTCGGCCACCGAGACGGCGGAGATGCGGCGTGGCTGGGTGGCCACCAAGCGGCATGGCTCGCCGCGCAGGGTACAATCTTCCAGTAGAAACTGCGGGATCTGCGTCGTTTTCCTCGGCGAAAACGACATTCGGTTTCGAAGTATTCGTTTGACAAAGGCGAGGGTAGGCCGCTGGAGGTAGCTGGTAGAAGAGGTGGCTAGTACCTACAAGTAAGCTACTAGGCTACTAGTATGGACGCAGGATAGCTCACGCTTCTTCAAAGAAACACCCCCCGCTGCCCTAAAGGCGGCGGGAGGGAACTTGTTTGAAAAAGATCGCTCGCACTATTCATTTGGTTCCTAGATTCTTAGGGAAACTTAACTAGTCGGGTCTAAAAGCTCTCTCCAAACTTCAAAAGCTCTAAAAGAACTTGGGCATTGGACGACTTGAAATCTTTTCGCGAAAGACAACTGCGTGGATTAACAAAGGGATGGAAAGCAGCAAGGGCTTAGCAAAGGATGCAAAAAACAGCAGAAGTTGGACGAAGTATGCAGGACTCTGCAGGGAAGTGGCTACCGTTTGAGCTCCTAGAGCAATGCTCTATCAAAAATATCAGCGAAAGAGAACCAAATAGAACAAGGCTCCCACAACCGGTCGCTCCCAAAATCAAGGTCACCTGATTGTCCCGCACAGAGCTACAAATCTCCTTCGCCATGTGAAAGGCTGGCAAATGCTGACGCATGGGAAGCATCTTCACCTCAAGCCGTTCAAGCCGCTCAAGCGACGCCATGGCCATCCAGTGTCAGCAACAATAACATCAAACTGTATAATATAACATATTATAACATCAACAAGCAGCCAACATATGCTAACATCAAGAGATACCTAACGAATTACACAACAAACATCAACATCAAAGAGCCATAAAAATGATCCATATGCCGATAGCCAAAGCACGTAGCCAGGCCTTTCTTGTTCTCTCCTTAGGTCCTCTGGTCCCATGGCCATCGACGGCCTCCGCAGAAAATCAAGGCCCTGCGCGTCCTGCGCCGAACGCTGCCGGCGTGGTGCCCTGCTGGCGGCCGCCACAACGCCAGCCGCAGCAGCCAGATGTGACGCATCGAAGTGCACATGTAGCGCATCCTGATGACAAGCAGCGTCACTCTAGGGAGAAGTTTTTGACATTTCAATGATGGTACAAGCACCGGTTTAATATTGACATAGTATGCCATCAAGCCCCTCAAATTCTAAGATCTGACGCAAGATCCTAGCCATTCCGAACAGGAGCAGTTTCTAGCCCAAATGTCCACAAGCAGTTCCACTAGGAGCAAGGGCATCGCTACTAGTAACAAAGGGCATCGCTACTAGGAGCAAGAACGCTACTAAGGGCTGGCCTTACCACGAACGGAACAAGGGACGCTACGAACGGAACAAGGGGAAGTGATGAGAAGATTCTGGCTGGAGCCGATCGATCGCCCACCATTTGTTTGCCAAGTTGGCCAACTGCTTCACATCTCTACGCAACTGCTTCCCTTTCACATCTTTCACTTCCAAAAACAGTCTTCCAAATGGTTGGTGGTTTGGCTTGGAGATGGAGAACAGCTGGGTCAGGTTTGAAGAGGTCTAATTAAAACAAGTCACCCTGAAAATTTGGAATGCAGGGTGATGATTTTTAGACATCTAGGAAAAGCTGTGGAATCTAGAATCCTGGCAACATCTCACATCTCAAAACTCAACCCTCACAGCTGAGCGCACCTCAAAGTCATCTGCCTCACCAACTTTGAAGGTTGACTTGCTCAGTCTGAGCTGCGCGTCTTGACATTCTTGGGGGCACACATCTGGTAAGCTTTTGATATTACGCAGCTTCAGGGTAGTTGCAGCTGAAACCCAAAGATCCTCCATGCAAGCAAAAACCGTGCAGTTTGCAAGCGTTCAACTCCTACCTACAACACCTATATTCACAGAGCCTGCTTGTCCTTAACAAATGGAGGGAGAGAAACTGCGCTACTGTATGCCTTTTTAAGGAACAATACTAATCCGGAAACTGCAAACCGGTCTCCTGCGGAATGTCTCGCCACACCCAGGAAGCCTTGCAACTTCCTCCAGCTTTCATGCAACTCTTCCGAACCTCTTCAACTAAACGCTGCCGCAGGCGCACGGGTTCTAAGTTCTCCTTGGAGCAAGCCAGCGCCTGTCAGAACTGACAAGTGGCCAATTTGTGAATCCAAGCGTAGACGGTGGAAACAAGCTTCAAAAAAAGAACTGCATCCGAGCGACATAAATGCCTTTGGAGACCTTGATCCAGGCGGCGCCCATTTCAGGCGCCAAGGATCTGATCGTATTGCGATATTCCTAGGGTCTATGCGAAAGCTCGAATGAAGGAAACACGCCTTTTGTTCCCAGTAGTAATGCCAGACGCCGCTAGTAGCGTCCTTGCTCCTAGTAGTAGTAGCGATGCCCTTGGAAAAATGCGAGCCAAACTGCAGAATGGCCGAGCTTCGTTGCTTAGCCATTCCATTTCTTCTTGGCTCCTTCCACTGTCCAAGAAAGCCTGAACTCGCTCGCGGCACCACTGGATCACCTCTGGATTGTCAGATGGATCCACAAAGCGTCGCCAGAACGGCTTCTTGGAGGCTGCCCCCCCAGATTTCCAATCTCTCCAATCTTCTCTCTGCCAAGCTCCTCAGGATTGGCATCCATGGGACAAACTTCTTGATTCTTGTTTGCTACACAGACCATCCGTCACAGCTCACTGGCTACTTCTTGCATCTTTCTCTCAATTTTGGACCCTCTTCAACCCAACTCCTGCCCAACCTGCTTGCCACCCTCCTTGCCATCCCCACCCATTCTGCTTCCGCTTCATACCTCTCGACACCCAAGAGCTGCCGCTGACACGCGGAATTGACTTTGGAAGGGCGAGAACACCGAAGGCTGTGCATCCATGGTCCATGGACAAGACATGTCTGACATGTCTCGTTGCTTGCGATGATGGTGTTCTTTCTCTTTTGCCAGGCTTGCTGTGCAAAAAAACATGCATGTCCAACTAGCATTTCTTTGGACGAGCTTTCGACCCGCTCCTGAACTCATATATATATATATGTATTGCGCCACCTAGGGGTATGTCGTGCAAAAAGCTTCTCCTGAAGTATTCGTGAAGCCTTGAGCTCTGCAGCACTCAACTCGGAAGTGAGGACCAAAGTTTGCATAAGTCCATGCTCATGTACCAAAAACTGAGCTGTGCAATGTATTGAAGGAAGGCATCCGGACTGCACGATCCGATCAAACGGTTTCTCTCCCTCTCTCTCTCTCTCTCATATCTTCCCCTCCGGCTCCCCAGCGAAGAGGGTGCAATGTGGTGTGGCCAATGTGCCTGGCCAATGCCAAAGTGCGGGGAATGGTGTTAAGTCGGATCAGAAGGTCTACAGGAGCCATGAAGCATTGGCTTGCAATTCCACCTGTTGCATGTGTGGTTGCTTTACATAAGCTTTCCCCCAAATGCTTCGCCTTAGCCATCGCACCCTGGGTTGGAGCAGCCTGCGGATCAGGCTGTCGCAGCTCATCACGTTCAACTATGCCTTTGGTCTCAGACTTGCCTACCAGGACCTACCCTTTGCATCCCGCCACCGGTAGAAAGAACTTCGGCCCAAAAGGCCCGAACAGTCTTACGTGTGTCTACTCCGTGCCACGCAAAAGCTATCGCCAGCGCTTATCGCCTGTGGAGGGAAGGCTGGCTCAGACTGGAACACCTGAAGTGGTGAAAGACCCACGTCGCAAAAGGTAAAGCGTCCAGGTTCCAGAACTGCGTGTGTTTGTTGGTTTGTTTCAACAGCTGCTGCAGCGGTTTCGGAGTAGAGTTGATGGCACAAACCCCTTGTGCCGACATGTCTTCTAGATCGGGGTTCCAGATAAACCACCCTTTTGGGAATTGTGCCATCTACTCTCCGTCCACTATATATAGTTCCCAGTCCCAGTTACCCACGCCTGCTCAGCGAAGGTGCTGGGAGCAGGCGTGTGGTAACGTAACTTGACAGACCTCGCAGTCACTGAAGACCATGTCATGCCCTAATCATGACTGGATCCTCCTCGGATGACTTCTCCCAATCAAAACAGCATAGTGATCATTTCGGCAAGTCACGCCTAGATCATGCCCAAGTCACTCTTTTCTGCGGTGCCCGTCGAGAGGCCAATGGAAAGCTGGTGACTAGTAGCTTCTTGCTACCACTAGTAATGCCCTTAGCTACTAGTAGCTTCTTGTTACTAGAAGCGATGCACTTGTCACTAGTGGCTTCTTATACTAGTTTATCGTAGCTTCATGTACTTTGATTGACGAACACACATAGAAACCATAGAACGGACGAACAAGCTCCACGAATGGCCACCTGACCAACCTCCTAGTATTGTTCAACTGGGTTGTACAGGCAACCGCTGTAAGTCCATGATGAACTGAAAATCCAGTTTCACATCAGTTGCCTCCAGCGAATTTAGCAGCAAGCGATTTTGATCTGTACTTCCACCAAGTTAAGTACAAGCGTCTGCAAGTGTGATCCTCTTCGTAGTCAGGTTCTTGAAAACATTCAGCGCTCCTTTGCATTCTACTGCGCACTCTCCACTGAGAAATCCACCAAGGTTGTTCTCCGCCCTGGCACAACCGAAGGATGCAAGCCAGGTGTTTGAGCGGTCGCCCTACCCGACTATGGCTCCCTAATGAATCAATGCAATAGTTGTGCTATATACCACCGACATATGACCATTCCTACTCACGTGAATTCACATCTGTTTTGACCATGCCACATGTCAGGGCAAGTCGAGCAGGCATGCAAGCTTCTTGTTACTAGTAGTAAGAAGGCTACTAGTAGTACGGCCAAGAGCCCCTAGTAGCGTCCTTGCTCCTAGTAGCGATGCCCTTTGCTCCTAGTAGTTTCTTGTTACTACTAGTAAGGCACTTGTTACTAGTAGCGATGCACTTGTTACTAGTAGCTCTTCTTCAATAAGTGTTTCCGATATTTGGCTGGACCCTTCTCGGAGTTGTTTTCGCCATCTGCTTAGCTTCACTGAATTCTCGGGCTCTCGAGCTTCGTGGCTTTCACAGAGCCGACACCCACGCACGTTCTTGCACTAAGAAGAAGCACCCCGACGCCTTCGGCAATGCTTTGGGCGCCGGCGTGTGGATAACCTGAAGCCTGGCTGGCATGAACAACCTCAACTCCATGAAAAGTTCCTAAAACTAGTTCCTCTATTGTTTGCTTCCTTTCTCTTTTTTCCTACAATCCTGGCCAAGGGACCCTTCTGGTGATCCACGCAAATTTGGTGTAGATGTGGTGGCCGGCGGAACCAGAGTGGATGTTGGATTGACCTGAGCGGTGATATGGGTATGGTATGACATGGGCCCACCCAATACAATTGCATTACTAACAGCGATGGCCGCCAAACTAGAAGCGATTGCCTCCAACCTAATAGGGATGGCCTAGGACTTAGAGGACCACAATATGTTCAATAGCTATGGCAGCTGCCAGCTACGTGCTCTCTGCCCACTTCTTTTCGGTTTTAGCTCTGAGCATGGCACCGGGCAACTCATGGAAGAGGAACTCCCCTTTACCTAGGTCGCTCGATTGAACGTACTGACCTGGATTCGAAAGCGAGGCACTGCAAACTCGGAGCTGCACTAGGGCAAAGCGCCCTGGATCCCAAAACCTCAGTGATTCGATGAACGAACCCAAGGCTGCAGCGCAATTCTTTTCATCCATGTCCATACCGTTAGGCCCCCGCCATTCCTCGAGATTCGAGCAAGCTGCAGACTTCAGGTAGCAGAACGCCATGGTGGTTGACCTCCAGCAAAGGGGGGTGAATTCACGTCCAACACATTGTTGAAGGAACTGGTACGGCACCAAAGCAACATGAACAATGTGTTCACCTTCCATGAAAAAAATTGTCTTCGTCCTGAATGTTGAAATGATGGCACCAAACACAAAGGGAGCGCTGGATTTGGAATACGCAAACTGGATGAAACTGTGCAATGTTTATCTTGCATCACCTTGTCTGAGGTGTCAGACACTTCAATATGATGGCAATCATGTCGTTTCCTGCAGATTTCTCTGCAAGCAGCCTGCGCCCGCAGGAAAAAAGAAAAACGAAAAGCCCTTTGTGGCAACATTGGCAAACAATCCTCATCCCACAGCCCTGCGCTAACATGGGCGAAATCCGCCGACCCCACGTGACTGTTGATTAAGGCTAAGGCTATGATTAAGGCCAAGGCTATGATTAAGGCTATACCTCCCCTACCCCTCCGGAGCTTTGTTGGAGTGACGAAAAGTAGCCAAAAATTGTCCAAGATTTCTCCCAAAAGTAACCAAAAATTGCCCAAGATTTCTCCATCCCAATTGATTTACATCTTGGGGCACCCTCCCCATTCGCGGGGGAAAATAAGCACGGTCCCTAAATGGTCCCAGGCTCGAATCCCGGCCTGGTTGCGGCCTGGTCCCTGCCAGTGCCCTTGGTTTTTCCTAGATGTTGTAACGTTTTCCGCTGGATTGCTAGGATTTTCAGGCTTTTCAAAGGTTTTTGTAAGATCTACTCATGCCTTTTTCGAAGGTTTTCCAGGATTTTCTATGTTTTTTCTAGGAAGTTCTGTGGTTTCCTGAGATTTTCCACTCTTTTTCCAAGGTGTTTTCGAGGGTTTTTTCTAGGAGTTTCTCCTCTATGCGCTCCGCACGTGCAAGTTTTTTCTGCTCTTTTCTAGTGCTGTGCTCGCATTCTGCAAGTGTGCCGGTGGAG